GGCCCAAGGAGGCTGAACGTGGGGCCAGTCTCCTCCTGCACCGGGCAAGGCAGCATCTGGCTGTGTGCTCTGCACTTACTGCTGGGCCAGGTCAGATTCCTGGTCCTGGGAGTTACCTCTTCTGGCCTATTTTCCCCTTAATTCCTCCTGTTGGGAGTTCTTGCCTCACCAAAATGATATTTCAGTGGGCTTGCTGAGCACAGGGCGGAAGGCTTCTTGTGACAGGCACTTATGGCAAACCCAGGCCCACAGGGGCCTCAATAGCTATAACATAATCCCAGGCACTTCTGCCCATGTATGTCCTGCAGAGGGGCCTTGCTCTGACCCCTCCAGGGCCTGCCCAGGCAGGCATCCAGAGGCACTGCCCAGAGAAACTGGTGGCTGGCCACTGGATGGGACTGTGCCTATACCCTGCAGTCTCAGGTCTGGTTTGAAAGCTCAGTGTGAAATAAACCTGAGTGGGGTAAACTGTGGTGGGCAATTTTAGGGAGTGTCACAGGGGGAAGGGTAGCAGTGCATAAGGTCAAGGGTGACCTCAGACTCAAGTGAACTTAGCCTGTCCAGGCTAGGCGGGCACACTCCTGAGTATAGAGACTGTGCCAGCCTTCTGCTGCTCATTACCACCAGGGTCCAGACTTAACTGTGAGTCCTGGGCAGCAGAAACTGTAGGATGACTGACAGGCCTAGGTGGAGTTCTAGACAGGGGTCAGGGAGCAGCATCCCAGTGGCAGGACAGGAAGTTGCTGGCACATCCTGGAGGCCTGTGATTCCCTCTCTGCACTCTCCTCCAGACTAGCCCCCTCACCCCAGCACTTTGCTTTTATCCAGAGCTTCCTCCAGGTCCCACCTCCCTCAGCCCCCTCATTCTTCAAAGTCCACTGGCAGTTGCCATGGTGTGCATTAAGAAGGGGGTGGTCTTAGCTCACCTGGCACCAGCCTCGGAGCAACTCCACACACTGCAAACAAACCCTTTTATTTGTTTTGCCCTTTGTTCCTTTCCTTGCTCCTTTTTCAAAAACAGCTTAATTGCGATGTAATTCACATGTCATGTAACCCACTCATTTGAAGTATTTAATTCAGTGGTTTTTAGTGTATACTCACTATACTCAGTTTTAGAATAGAATGTTTGTATCACCTCAAAGAAATCCTGTCCCCTTTAGCTGTCCCCCCACCTCTCTGGCCATAAGCAGCAACTAATTTCTCTCTCACTCTAACTCTACCAGTTGTGGGTGTTCTGCGTGAAGGGAATTGCAGTGTCCTCTGTGACACTCCTTTCAACGAGCTTCTTGGATTCAGGGTTCATCATGTTGTAGCACCTCTGGGTGTTTCATTCCTTTTCAAGATTGTTTTATTTTTGTTGTTGTTGTTGTTGTTTTTTTTTTTTGTGGGACCCTCGCCGGTGGCCGGAGATCGAACTGGCACTGCAGAGGCTGCAGGCAGCCTCGCAAACCCAGCACTCAACTGCTGCGGCACCAGGGGAAGCCCCCTTTTCAAGACTGTTTCCCAGTCATCCATTGGCAGACACTTGTGTATGATTTCTGTGTGGACATGTTTGGTTTCTCTCGGACAAATGCCATCTCGGGAGATAGGAGTTGAATCATCTGAGGAGCCATGAGTCAGTGATCCACAGAGGCCACCCGACTCTGTGCCCCCACCCCTCCGGAGCTCGACCTCGCCAGCACTTGTTATTGTCTGACTTTTTCACTCCAGCCATCCTGGTGGGAGTAAAGTGCTATCTCACTGTGATTTTGATTTCCTTTTCCCTGATGACATTGAGCATCTTTTCATGAGCTTATTGACCATGGAGAAATAGTTGTCTTCCTTAGAGAAATACTAACTCAGATCCTTTCTCCTTTGTTTAATTAGGTTATTTACTTTTTATTATTGAGTTGTGAGAGTTCGTCATGTATCCTGGTTGTAAGTTCCTTGCCAGATATGTGATGTGCAAACACCTTCTCCCATTCTGGAGGGTGTCTTTCCTCTTTCTCAGTGGTATCCTTTGAAGTACAAGGTTTTTCATTTGAAGAATTCAATTTGTCTCTTTCTTCTTTTGTTCCTAGCTTTTAATGTCATATCCTCAACTCCATGGCCAAATCCAGTGTCATGAGGTATACCTCCATAAGAGTTTTGTAGTTTTAAAAAGCTTTTACATTTAGGGCCTGTGATCCATTTTGAGTTCGTGTTTGTATATGATCTGAGGGAATAATTCAGCTTCCTCCGTTTGTTTGTGGACGTCTAGTTCTCTCAGCACCATTTGTTTAAAACAAGACTAGGTTTTCCTGAGCACCCTTGTTGGACCAAGGAAACCATAGACACATGGGTCTCTGGGCTCGGCTCTGTGCCCTGGGGCTCTGTGCCTGGGCCAGCACCACAGAGCCTTGACCACATGGCTTCATAGCAAGTTCTCGGGTTTAGAGGTGTGAACTCCTGCTTTGCTCTCCTTTCCAAAGTCATTTTGTCTCTTTAGAGCCCCTTCTGCTTCCACAAGTGAATTGTAGATTTTAGAAGCAGTTTGTCCATTTCCACAAGGAAGTCACTGGGATTTGGATGGGCTTGAATTGAATGCAAGGATGAGTTTGGGAGTGATGTAACAGTATACAGATTCCAATCCACAAGTGCTGGGTGTTTTACTGATTATTTTGGTCTTTGGTTTTCTTCAGCGATGTTTTGCTGCCTTTGTTTTGAAGTATGCTTTGGTTTGACTCTCAGGCTGCGGCCGGGAATGGCTGTCTGCCTATGGGATGCAGGCCATTTCTCCTTTTTCTCTGGCTCTTGGAGTTCCCCGGAACTGGTCTCCCTGCCTGCCTGGGTGTCCGCTCTGCCCCCACAGCCCATCCCAACAGGGAGACCTTGATTCTCCTTCCAGTTATTTTCTGCTCATTCTTTTCATCAGAAGTCAGCAAACTAGGGCCACCAGCCCAAACCCAGCCTGCTGCTTATTCTAGTGAATAAAGCTTTGTTGGAACAGAGAAATGCTCACTCATTTACGTACTATCTGTGGCTGTTCCCACATCACAATGGCAGAGATGACTAATTGCTACAGAGACTGTGGTCTACAAAGTCTAAATATTTACTCTCTATCTACTTATAGCAAAGGATTGCTGGCCCATCTTTAGCCATCTCCAGAAAACAGGAGTCTGGCTTTGCCTGCTTGTCTCCAAGTGACCTGGGGGAAGGGAGGTTGCAGAGATACTGAGCCAGCCTGCTTGTCATAGGTTTGGGGCCCCAAACCAGTGTTCCCTGATCCTTGCAATGTATTGCATCTAAACAAGGTTTTTATATTAGGGATCAAGTGTAGGCAAGTGTCAGTGCTGGACCAGGGCATGCCCCAAAACCTGGGCTTTCTGAGCCTTATTCCTGGTGATCCCCCCAGCCCCTACAGCAGCAGGCAGCACCTGGACTGCCCATCCAGGGGAAGGCATCTACCTCTTACCCCAGCCATAAACAGGACAAAGAGAAGATGAAGTTCCCCAGTGTGGTCCTGTTACCATTAGGAGCATGTGGGAGCCTCTTCTGACCTTTGAGAATGTCAGAGACAGTGGCCTGGGGCCACCCCAAGAGCCTGCCATCTACTTAGTTGGAACCAGGGTCCTCTTGGTGACCTCAGGCTTGGATTATCATCCTGTGTCTTTTGTAACCTACTCAAGGGACTGTATCAGTTACTACTACTTTCTTTATAGATACACGGTTGACTTAATGGTTTAAAGCAGCCATCCCCCTCCCTGGTGGGGCAGGGGGTGATTCTAGCCTGGACTCTGAGCAGGGACTGGCTGAGCAGAACTCTGCCTAGGGGAAGAGGTGGCTGGAAGAACCAGTCTCTCTCCCTGTGGCCTTGCTTCCAGGGAGGCTTCTGGGTGGGCCGTTTCGGCACATCTCATAAGGGAAACCTGGTGTACGGTGCTCAGACCCCACATGCACCGCACCAACCTAGAGCAGCGTGGGGGCACTTTGGGGCAGATTCTGGGGCAATGGATGCAGGCAGCTCCCCAAATGGGCTGAAGCTGTGGTTTAAAACATTTCTGTTGCAGCTGAGCCTCAGCTCAGTTTTTCTCACAGGGCTACTTTGTCCTCTGCCCTTCATGCTGCCCCAGTACAGGGAGAGCAAGTAATTTTTTCCTGGGCAGCATTTTCACCGTATCTTGGGTTGGGTCTGGAAATAGAGCTCTAAAACCAATGCCAGGCCTCAGGTAGAAGCAGAGCGAGCTGAGTTGATAGATGATGTAGATTCTACCTTTAGACTCACAAGTCACACCTGAGCCTGCAGGACTGGCCTAGCTGGGGAGCCCTTCACTCCTCTGCTTGTTCATATGCTTGAGGCTGGTGTTGCCTATGTATGGAGCTGCTGCTCCATTTCATAGCTTCTTGGCAGATCCCCATAGGGCACTGACTTGGGGTTGGACACTGAGGTGCTGCTTCCTTTCACTAGCCTGAGAGGATGGGTTGAAGCCCTGCTAAAAGGTGTTCCCTAATAATAGGAACTGGATGTGGGTGTGTGAGAACCCTGCACTGTCACCACAATTTTTCTGTAAGGTTGATTTTTAAAAATCTGCAGCATTCCTTGTAAAGACCTCGAGACAGACAGGTTGGTAAAAGGCCTGCCAAGGGCTGCATTTCAGGGTAGCAGAGTCCAGAGTTGCTAGAATCTAAAAATGAAGCACTTTCAAAAGGTGTTCATCATAATCTGCTTTACTCTTGATGTTCAGGAGCCTGAGGGATGCATGTATATTGAGTACCTACAGAGGTTTTGGGAATGGGTGGTTCTTTGCTTTCACATGCTACTCCTTCCCTGTAAGTCTAGCAACCTGGCGCCATGTTGAGAAGGGACAGAAGCTTAGAGGGTGTGCTGGCCCTGCCCCACCCTGGGAGAGGAGGACCGAGTCATCCTGGATGACTCCTGGCACCAAGTTTTCTCCATCCTTCCTTGGGCATGGTCTTCAGCGTCAAGGCTGACACCTCTTAGTCATGGAAGCCCAGGGCTGACCTGCTGTGTGGTCCTGCAGGGTGACTACGACCGGAGCAGGACCAAGGTACTGCACCTGAGCATGAACCCAACCAGCACGGCGAAGCAGCGGCTCAGTGAGGACCGGGCACGGCTGCAGGAGGAGTGTGAGCGACTGCGGGATCTGGTGCGCGCCCTGGAGAGAGGCGGCCCCGTGCCCACCGACCTGGAGGCTGCTGCAGGGCTGTCATCGTCCAAGGAGGTGGCAGGTAGGTCTACTCTTGTCCTTGACATCTGGTGTCAGGCCAGCCCAACAGCTGCCGGGCAACTCAACCATCCCACCCTCAATACTCTGCAGACAGCAGGGCCTTGGTAGAGCCTGGGACCAAGCATCCCATGGGATGTGCTGGATTAGTAGCTGGCCTGCAAGGAGCAGCAGAAGGGACAGTAGCTGAAATACTCTCCAACCCCTGAAGCAAATGAATATCATTTATCAGCGTGTGTATTCCCTATTAATCTTGCGTAAACCCTGCGCTCCAGGAGAACAGGACCATCTATCACTGGCCTGAGTACTTGAGGAATCTGGCCTTCTGGAGGAGTGAGGTCCTGGGAGCTGCCTTTTCCATATACTCCACCCACAATGCAGCTCTGTGGGTCCCTGGCATGTGTGCCTCTTACCTCCTGTGTAGCCAAGGGGCCACTGGAGTCTATTTACTCTACACTAGAGAGTTCTACTATTACCTAGTCCTGCCTAGGAATATGCACTCTGCTTGTGACCCTCAACACAGAGGAGAGGGACCCCTTTTTGGACCTACTTTTCTCAGAGTCACCACACAGTGGGGCCCCACAGAGGCTGGATCAGAGGGATGCCTGTGGCATCCCTCAGCTGCCCATTCAGGACCAGGGGCCTGGAGGAGAGGCCCCCCTTCTGGTCCTCCCTCAGCATCCTGGAGCACAGCACCAGTGTCCCCAGCTCTTGTCTAGTGAGGACTGTTTGCCGCTTCCTTTGGTGAATTGGAAGATTTGGGGGTTAAGTTACTGTTTTCTTGCATTTCCCATTGCTATTCATTTGGGGCCCTTTTCTGCCTCCTACATGTACTTGTCTCATCCCTGTGAAGGCTACACTCTTGCCTGCTAGCATTCGAGCTGGAAGGAACATGTAGCTGCTGTCATTTTCTCATCCTTGGCTAGGCCCAAGCCAGGACAGGTGGTTCTCTGCTGTTCTTTGTTGGGCATTTCAGATGCAGGCACCTCCCTCCCTGCTTCTTTCACCATTATCCTCATGTGAATGAGTCTTTCTCAAAGCTCCCAATGACTATGGCCACCCCAGTGGTGGAATGGTGGCAGAAGACCCTCAGCTCAGTGCCTGCATGCCCAGGGTGCTGGGCTGGCCTGGTCTGAGGTTGGGAACTCTGGGTCAGCTATACCTGTTGTGGGCCCAACTTTGTGCCTCTCACATCTCAAAACTGCAGGATAGCAAATGTAAAACAGATGCTGCTGCTAGGGACATGGGCTTGAGCAGAGGCACATACCAGGCACACAAGAACTGCTCGCCATTGGTCCTTTTTATTGTTCTCAGTCTTGACACAGGGTCCCATGACCATGCACATGCAGTGGTTTCTGGGCTGTGACGTTAGTGGGATTTGGCCAGCCTCTCCTGAACTCTTGATATTTTGTGTAGTTGATATCACTAAAATGGTTGCTTTTCCCAAGCTTGTGGACAATGAGCATGCCATCATGTACATGTATGCACACATAGCCTTTCTTTCCTCGTGCCCAGCCTTGCCTGCCTGAGGTTTTCAAAAGCGGGATTCTTTGTGACTATTATTAAATTCTGTCCCATGTTGTACAAATCAGAGCATCACGACACAATGAGAAGTGTGATCAGTGGTGCCTGAACAGAACTGTCTCACCCTCTTTCCTGGGGTGGAGCAGAGAGCATTGCTGCCACAGCATGGGGCCCCTTCCCTCCCTGCCCTTCAGGGACCGAATAGCCCTCCTGACCAATCAGAGAGCTCTTGCCCCTCCATGTTCTCTCTACCCCCTCACTTTTCGCTTCTCAGCAGGAGCTGGGTAGCAGCCAAGTACAGAGAGAAGATCCTGGAAGCAGACAGTGTTTGCTCAGGCCTGCTCAGTGTCACACTCAGGCCTTCCCAGAGCATTCACTCTGGGGGCAGCGAAGAGAGAGCCCGTGCCCATCAAACAGCTGTGTCAGTTACTAAGTACATCTGGGGTTCCTAAGCCAAACCCACATTGTCACAGAGAGTGCCACTGGGGCTGTCCCTACATCTGGGGGAGACGTTGTGGCCAAACAGCCAGTGTGCTCCCCTCCTCTAGGGAGCAGGAGAGGAAAGCCTCTTGCATGTTGGTTCCAGTGCTGTGATCCAAAGATCCGAATTCTTGCTCTTCCCACTTATCCATCCGGCCGGCTCTGGCGCTGATCTACCTACAAGTCCTCAACAAAATTTAAAAGCTAAAAATACAAAGCTGTGATGTTTGTAAATGACCTTTATTTTGTGAAAGGATTCATAGAGGGTCCCTTACTTTCATCTGACATGTCAGTCATTTCCAGTGAGCACCACCTGTCTGATAGGCTGTGTTCTGACTTGGCACAGTGACAGCTGCCCAAGACATCTGCACCCGGGGCCATACACCCAGGGAGAAGGCACACTGAGAGGCTTCCAAAGGGACCTTGGAGAACAAGTCAGGCCTCCAGGCTGCCTGGAGGACAGGGAAGGTGAGCATGAGCATAGGCCCAGGCCCGATGGTCTCACTGTGAGGGAGGGATGGCCACTTGGCCAACTGCCTTGGTTGGAGGTAAGGATGTCAAGGAGAAGACCGGGGCCATGGCATCTACAAACATGGCCCAGTGGACACAGACATCTACTCTGCCTCCTCCCTGAGACCCCCTAAAATCATAGGAAGAGTGGTGTGGGGCTTTGTTTCGGTCTTTCTTAAGGATTAAGCACACAAAGAGAAAACACACCAGCAAACTTTGAAATCTGGAAAGTTGGTGGAAGTATAGTTAAATGGTGAGCAGACTCAGGAAACAGAACTCCAACCTAGCAGCAAGGAGAGCCCAGAACTTATGTGAGTCATGCCACAGAGCTCCCCAAAGCCCAGATTTGGCAGCAAGTAGTACTGGGGATGGAGAGGAGCTGGCTAAGATGAAGAGGTCACCGATATCCACCAGAGAGTGTTGGCACACCTCGCCCAGCTAACTGTACAGAGAGTGATTACATCTCATCAGTGAAAATTTTAAATGGGAGATAAAATCGCATTTTCTTGGAGCAGTGATCCCCAAAGGATGGTTCTGGCCTGGCAGCAGAACTTATTAGAAATGCACATTCGTAGGCTCCATCTTAGACCCACTGGGTCAGAAGTCCGAGGGGCCCGCTGTGTTTGTGAACCCCTGCTCTGGAAACGGTGTGGGGAAGAACTCTGGACAGGACACAGCTCAGGACAAGGACTCTGAACAGTTGGAAGGATGAAGTGGACAGATGCCGAGAACCACCCCCCCACCCCCGCCTTTCCATTCATCTCTAAGACACACAGTCGGGTGTGACCTCCTGGCCAGTGACAGGCAGTCTGTTGGGCAACTGACAAATCCTGGAAGACCTAAAAGTGCTGGTATTGGAGATCGCCTGCTAGACGGCTCACCCAAGTAACTCCATGGTGGAGCCCACGGTTGACAGACTTGTCCTTCACAGAGATTCCTCATGCCTTGTGGAACCCACTCCGGTTATAATGTGAAAACAGGACCATGTGATAGCTGGAAGATGGAGTAAAGGAAACATGTAAAAAAAACTGCAGTTTGGATGGAACAGACCATCGGAGTGAAGAAAGCCTCCGAAAAGTTGTACCGTGGAGAGGGAGAAGGGAGGACATCTTAACAAACAAAACAAGAACAAGACATTGTAAAAATTCTGTCAGAGAAAAAAAAAAAGGAAACTTTTGGAAGTTAAAAACGTCACAAGTTAGTGTTTAAATAGAAGTTGTATGAGATAAAATTGAGAAAGTTTATCTGAAAGTAGAGCAAACAGACCATAAGATGGGAAACGGGAGGAAGAGAAGAGGAATGGCCCGGAGGTCCGGCATCTGATACTCTGGGCTCCAGAAGGGAATGAAGGCAGCACCTCATGGAATGGGGAAGAGGGGTGTTCCAGGTTGTGGTGGACACCCAGGTCCCGTCAGTGGGTGACCGTGGACCCACACCCCTGTCTACCTTGAAAATTCAGAGCCTGGGGACAAAAACAAGACCCCGTAAACTCCCAGAGAGTAAAGAAATAGATCATTTCTCTTTCTTTGTCAAAAGATCTGCTGTCATATGAGCTTATTCTTCTCAGCAGCAGCCGGAAGTGGAGCCATGGGTCAACCTCCATCTCTCTCAAGGAACCTGTGGCCCAGCCTGTGGCACTGGGACTAAATCACATGTGCAGGAGGAAGTGGGTTCGGTTCCCAGGTTCAGGTCTTCTTGCCACCGTGTCTCCTTTCTCCTATAGCTGGTTGAGGATGTGGTCCAGTGAAACAAGGAAGAAAGCCAGGAAAGAAGCCATAGAATACAGCAGGGTTGCCACCTGGCGTGGGGGCGTGGGGGCAGGGAGCGCCAAGGTGCAGCTAAGAGCAGCACACAGCTGGACCTGGCCAGTCTAGGGCTTCTCCAGACCAGGAGAAATTGTTACAATGCTGAGTAACCAAAGCTTTCTGTGTCTGTGTGCCACGCGCGGCGCTGCAGAGGCTTGGCACCAGAGCCTCCCTGTTCTGTGTGTCCAAGTCATGTCTCATGTTGTATCTAATGCCCCACAGAGAAGTTTGGGTGCTCTGACAGAGACAAGGAACAAAGAGTACGGCTGAGTTAGTAATGAGCACTTAGAAAATGAAGCAAATGCAAACACACGACAGCTATTAGCTCCAGAGAAAACAGGAAGTTGGGTAAGAAGTAACGATAGTCTGCCACGCAGCCTACTCTGGTGAGCATTTCTGCCGTCATACAGGGCTGCGTCTGGATGTGAGCAGAATTCTAGCATGAGCCATCTGGAGGATGCAATGGGGAGATGTGTGTGTTAAGGGGGGCGGGGGCACAGGCCTCACATTCAGAAGTGGCAGTGCAGACCTGTCTCCGGGAGAAACTAATTCAGACCAAGATAACTGACTAAGAGTTGATATCTTTGTTCCCGCAGAGGAAAGGGCCTGAGCATGAGAGACTCTATCCTCCCTGACCAGACTTTCTCCACTTAGGTGTTCAGGCTGGGGGGCACCCAGGGAGGGC